TATTAACTGGCCTAATTTCAATATTGTAGTGTCTCAGAGAATAGAGAGGCTTGAGGAGAGAGGCAGAGATAGTGGAGTGTGGGGTGACAGGACATGGTACTGAAGATGAATAGCAGGTTGGTGGGACAGAACACATCATTTATTGTTTGCCATTTTATATGGGTGCGGTTTGTGGTGCCCCAAAACAGTTGTAACATCAAAGATCACTGATTATAGATCGCCATAACAAATGTAATAATAATGAAAAATCAGCTTGAAATATTACGAGAATTATTGAAGTGTGACACAGAAACATGAAATGAACTGATGCTGTTGGAAATACGGTGCTGAGGACTTGCTTAGTACAAAGTTGCTACAAATCTTCAATTTGTAAACAATGCAGTTGTAAAACAAGGTATGCCTACATAACATGGTTGCATTTATATGGAATGGCCGGAATGGTAAATCCGTAGAGATGGAAAGGAGATTGGTGGTTACTTAGGGTTGAGAGAATTGGGGTATATGTGGGGAGTGATGGCTAATGGGTATGGAGTGTTTCTTTTTCAGGTGAGATGAAACTGTTCTAAAACTGATTGTGGTCATCGTTACACCACTTTGTGAATATACTAAAAACCACTACATTGTGCATTTTATTTATTTTTAAAACTTTTATTTTTTAAAAATTTACATCCAAATTAGCATATAGTGCAGCAATGATTCCAGGAGTAGATTCCTTAGTGCCCCTTACCCATTTTAGCCCATCCCTCCTCCCACACCCCCTCTAGTAACCCTCTGTTTGTTCTCCATATTTATGAGTCTCTTATGTTTTGGTCTCCTCCCTGTTTTTATATTTTTGTTTTCCTTCCCTTATGTTCATCTGTTTTGAAGATTAAAAGTCCTCATATGGGTGAAGTCATAATATTTGTCTTTCTCTGACTAATTTCACTTAGCCTAATACTTCCAGTTCCATCCAGTAGTTGCAGATGGTAAGATTTCATTCTTTTTGATTGCCGAGTAATACTCCATTGTGTGTGTGTATATGTATGTATGTATGTATGTATGTGTATGTATGTATATATACTACATCTTCTTTATCCATTCATCCACTGATGGACATTTGGGCTCTTTCCATACTTTGGCTATTGTTGATGGTGCTGCTATAAACATTGGGGTGCCTGTGTCCCTTCGAAACAGCACACCTGTATTCCTTGGATAAATACCTAGTAGCACAATTGCTGGGTCGTAGGGTAGTTCTATTTTTAGTTTTTTGAGGCACCTTCATACTGTTTTCCAGAGTGGCTGCACCAGCTTGCATTCCCATACATTGTACATTTTAAATGAGTGAATCATATAGGTGAAGATCAGTGAAGCTGTTGTTTAATAAAACTGGGTAAATGCTGCTTCTGTAGTTGTACCATAGTCTTTTGTGCATAGTTTGTGGCTTTCTAAAATGAAAGGAGTGATATACTTAATTGAATCGGATTGTAGACTATCATTGAGTCCTTTAATTCCATTTCCCTAGGGCCCTTGGGTGGCTCAGTTGGTTGAATGTTGGACTCTTGATTTTGGCTCAGGTTGTGATCAAGCTCTGCAACGGGCTCCATGCTGAGCCTTGATCCTGCTTGGGATTCTCTCTCTCCCCCTCTGCCTCTCTCCACTGTTCACGTTCTCCCTTTCTCTCAAAAAATTTTTAAAAATTAAAAAAATTTTTAAAAATATATTTCCCTCTTCTTACTGTAAAAATATTGTTAAAATGTTGAAAATTTTAAAGCATAGAAAGTGAAGGAAATGCAGATTATCTGGAATAGTACTCAGATCTATCATTGTTAAATTTTTGGTGGTATTTTGTGTATAGTTTTTCCATATAGTTGCAAAGTCATACAATTTAAAAGAATTGTCTTTTGGTGTGGCTAGATTAATTTTTAAATTGCTTTGTTGGGGCCAATATAGAAAACTAATTACTGATTCATTTCTGAGGAATGTTTAATTTGTTAGTTTTTTGAAAATAAACTTGTATGGAAGTGATCTTGAAATTACCCTCTGACTCCACTGGCCCTAAATTTAGCCCTTTTTTTTCCTAAATGTTTATTTTTCAGAGAGAGAGAGAGAGAGAGAGAGAGAGAGAGCGCGCGCGCGCGCCCATGAGCAGGGGAGGGGCAGAGAAAGAGGGAGACACAGAAATGGAAACAGGCTCCAGGCTCTGAGCTGTCAGCAGAGCCCAATGCTGTAACTCACAGACCGCAAGATCATGACCTGAGCCGAAGTCAGACGCTCAACTGACTGAGCCACCCAGGCGCCCCCCCCCCCCCTTTTTAATGACTGTAGTTAAAAAAAAAAAGTTCTGGGGCACTTGGCTGGCTCAGTCCTTATAGCATGTGACTCTTGATCTCAAGGTGGTGAGTTCAAGCCCTGTGTTGGGCATGGAGCCTACTGAATTAAAAAAGAATGAATGCTTTCAGGCTTCCACAAATGAATTAATGGTTTTATTACTGTACTCCCTACTATTTCTTTAATGCTTCAGAATTACATTAAAAATTAAAGTATAATTTATATATGATAAAATATACCCCTTTTACATATACAGTTGACTCTTGAACAACAACATGGGCTTGAACTGAGCAGGTCTACTTACATGTGGATTTTTTTTTCAATGAACCAGTACAGTACTGTGAATGTATTTTCTCTTATGGAATTTTCTTTATAACTTTTTCTCTAGCTTACTTTATTGTGGAATGCAGTATATCATAGATACAGCATACAGAAATATGTGTTAATTATCAGCAAGGCTTTTGGTCAGCATTCGGCTATTAGTAAAGGTTTTGGGGAGCTACAAGGTATACTTGGATTTCTGACTGTGCTTGGTGCCCTACTCTTGTGTGATTCAAGGGTTTATATTGTACAATTTAGTGTTTAGATAAGTGTAACCACCACAGTGGAGCAATTTTCTTACTCCCCAAATTTCCTTTACACACAAGCCCGTCACTTCACCCCTATACCTTGGTATAACCACTTATTTGTTGTCTTTATAGTTTTGCAATTTCTGTGACTTGGCTTGAATGAATTATATAGTCTTTTTTGGTCTGGCTTTTTTCAGTTAGAATGATTTTGTAATTCATCTATCTTGTGACTTTTTGTTTTAAAATTTGTTTTTGTGCGGGTTGGGGAGAAGGAAGTGCATGTGCCCACATACGTGTGCGAGCAAGGAATGGGCAGAGGGAGAGAACCCCATGCAGGCTTCTTGTCCCAAGAACTGTGAGGTCATGACCCAAGCCGAAATTAACAGACTTAAAAGGCTGAGCCACCCCCAGGCGCCCCCTACATCTTGTTATTTGTATCCGTAGTTTATTTTTTTATTCTTGAGTAGTACTCCATTGTATACTTAGACTTTTGGGTTGTTTTCACCTTAGCGTTTTGAATAAAGTTGCTGTGACCATTTATTTGTGGGTCCTTGTTAAGATACATTTTAATTTCTTTTGGGAAATCTCTAGTAGTAGAATTACTGCGTCTTAATAGGGTTTTCTAACTATAAGAACTACCAAACTTTTCAAAGACCTTACTGTCTTAATATTTCTATTAATTTTCTGGTACTCCCTAAAGTGTAATTTTTTAAAACTTATTTTCCTGGGACAGCACATAATTTAACTGTTAAGGAGTGTTTCATAAAGTTACTATCTGTATCATATTTTAGAATATGCTTATGCTTAGAGTGTTAATGTATGCTAAGGGTATTTGTTAAAATGTAGATTCTTGGGGTCTTATGACCAAAGATTCTGAATCAGTAAAGAGCCACATGGTGATATGGCATTTAGTCTTTTCTAAAAGCATAGTTTTAGTAAATATATTTATTGGGTTAGTATTCATTGAGCTGTTTTTGGTTCTTCTTTTGCGTTTCTCTGCATTGTTGTTCCCTGTGTTTTTCTTTAAACTTGGGGATCTCCTAAGGTTTATCTGGGCTCCTTTCTTAGCCCGCCACCTAGTGGTAACAAATAGGAACCATCAAAAGTTTTGCTAATGAATGTGTAGGAGGTGGACAGTTTCTTTCTAAAGGTGGAAGGATGGAAACATCCAAAGTTATGTTTGGTTTGTGTTTGTGATTTAACCAAATGCTCAAATGTGTATGTTTGCTATATGAATATTCTTTTCTCCCATGACTTTTTGAAATAGAATTTATTTGTAAGAAAAAATATTTTAGAGCCTGTAAATTAAAACATTTTTTTTAATAAATTTTTTTTTTCAACGTTTATTTATTTTTGGGATAGAGAGAGACAGAGCATGAACGGGGGAGGGGCAGAGAGAGAGGGAGACACAGAATCGGAAACAGGCTCCAGGCTCCGAGCCATCAGCCCAGAGCCTGACGCGGGGCTCGAGCTCACGGACTGCGAGATCGTGACCTGGCTGAAGTCGGACGCTTAACCGACTGCGCCACCCAGGCGCCCCTAAAACAGATTTTCTTAATGCTTATTTTATTTTCGAGAGAGCACGCGCATGAGTGGGGGAGGGGCAGAGAGAGAGAGACATAATCTGAAGCAAGCTCCAGGTTCTGAGTTGTCAGCACAGAGCCCGATGTGGGGCTTGAACCCACAAGCTGTGAGTTCATTGTCTAAGCCAAAGTTGGGGGTTTGACCGACTGAGCCACCCAGGTACCCCTAGAGCCTACAGATTTTTAATCTTTGTCTTAAACTGCCAGCTCAATTATTTTTACTGGGAAATGGGCAGATGTGCTTTCCTAGTTCCCTTATTTAATGAGACAGATGCTTCTAAGCTGTATTGAGTTAGGTGGCATATGAGGTTTTGATTCCATAGAACTTTTATTACAGATTCTCTTGTTCTAGGCTCTTAGTTTACTTTCTTTTACATGATTTTTGGTTTTTTACTCCTTTCAGGTTTAATGATTGTAGTTATTTTTGTTAAAATTCTTACCTTTTTATACTAGCTTGACAGAAAAAAAGACCTATTGTGAAGGGATTTTGTATCAACAAAACTTACTTTGTAAGGTCTGATTTCACTTTTCCCTTATAGAAATGGTGGAATCGATGAAGAAAGTAGCAGGGATGGATGTGGAGTTGACAGTTGAAGAAAGAAACCTCCTATCTGTTGCATATAAAAATGTGATTGGAGCCAGAAGAGCTTCCTGGAGAATAATCAGCAGCATTGAACAGAAAGAAGAAAACAAGGGAGGAGAAGACAAACTAAAAATGATTCGGGAATATCGGCAAATGGTGAGATTATCTATCCTAGGCTTCTTTAAAGAAAGATGCCTCATGTTTTGGATATTTTATTTTAAAGCTCGGGGCATCTGGGTGACTCAGTCAGTTAAACGTCCAATGTCATGCTCAGGTCATGATCTCATGGCTTGTGAGTTTGAACCCCACTTCGGGCTCTGTGTGCTGACAGCTCAGAACCTGGAGCCTGCTTTGGATTCTGTCTTATTTTCTTGCCCCTCCCCTGCTTGTGCTCTGTCTCAGAAATAAACATTAAAAAATTTAGTAAAATTTTATTTAAGTAGTCTCTAAACCTGGTGTGGGGCTTGAACTCATGATTCTGAGATTGTCACATGCTCTTCCGACTGAGCCAGTCAGGCGTCCCAGGTTTTGAACATTTTATTATTTTTTTTAAGAATTTTTAAAAAGTTCATTTATCTTGAGAGAGAGCGAGTGAGCATAAAAGCAGGGGAGGAACAGAGAGAGAGAGAATCCCAAGCAGGCTCTGCATCTACAGTGCAGAGCCTGATAATGGGTCGTGAACTCGTGAATGGTGAGATCATCTCCTGAGCCAAAATCAAGAGTTGGACACTTAACTGACTGAGCCACCCAGGTGTCCCTGAACATTTTAGATCACACTGTAGTACACATGTGTAATATAAATTTTACACTTGAATGGATTTGCATATTTTGCTTAACCCAGATTATAGGTCATACAGTATTTCAGGACAGAGGTGAAGAAGTTTTCTCTGGAAGCTATAGAAGGTGCTCACTTTTGAGCACCAACAAGTAGAAACTAATTTAATCTTGTTTTTATTGTAGTTAACTGCAAAATACTTCATTGAGTGACTTGAAAGAACCATCCAGGACAATGTAACAAGTATTTTTGTGCCTCTTATGTGCCGCACAATTTGCTAGGTGCTATGGATGTAAAGATGAGACAAATACAGGTTACTTTGCATATGGAGGTTCAGTCTAGTCATTGTTTTCTTAATTGAGTAGAAAATGTTAAAGGCATTGGACATTATTTCTTGAAGTTACTGTTTCAGGTATTTTATATATAAATGGAATTTTTCGTACTGTGAGTTTTGGTCAAAAAAGTACCATAGCCGTTGATCTAGGTCAGTGGTTTTCAACCAGAGGTGATTCTACTGCTCAGAGGGCATTTGGCAATTTCTGAAGACATTTTTGGTTGTCACAACTTGGAGGGTGCTATTGGCATCCAGTGGGTAGAGACAAGGATGCTGTTTGTTGAATACCCTGTGGATAGAACAGCCCTGTATAGCAAAGAATGATCTAGTCCAAAATGTCAGGCTACTATTGAGAAAGTGATTCTTGTGGAAGAGAAAGGCATATAAACACATTTTGAGTCCAGCGAGGGAAATTACAGGAACACTCAAAAAGTAGCATGGGGAATGAATTTGGTAGGGAGAGGGAAAAGGGCAACTACATTTATTATCTCCACCTTTGTTGGACGCTGTTCTTGAGTGGGGAGATATTAATACACATAATTGTGCAACATACGGTATTTATTTAAATTACCCTGTAAAGAATAGGTATTAGTCTACTTTATAGATGGGAAAACTGAGGTTTTGAGTGACTTAAGAGGTGGTAAGCTGATATAGGGGCACGCCTGGGTGGCTCAGTCAGTTAAGCATCTGACTTCGGCCCAGGTCATGATCTCACAGTTCGTGAGTTCGAACCCAGTGTCGGGCTCTGTGCTGACAGCTTGGAGCTTGGGGCCTGCTTCGGGTTCTGTGTCTCCCTCTCTCTGCCCCTCCCCAGCTCATGCTCTCACTTTGTCAAAAATAAATAAACTTAAAATAATCTTTAAAAAAAGGTGGTAAGCTGATATCAGTGTGCCCATTAATGTCAAATATATTGGAACAAGAGTATGGGTTGTCAGTAGAAAAGTTTGGTGTCTCAGAGGAACGATGAAATGAGAAAGTTAAAAATGCTTAAGTGGCAGAATTCTGTGCTAAATTGTGGGATTTGGGCTAAGTAGGAAAGGAAGCAGGAAGCAAAGAGAGGGACTGATAAATTGGGGGAAGATGAGAGATTCAAGAGGCTGGAGGTCTTGATGTGTCTCTAATTAGGAATAACAGGAATAAAGAAGTAAGGAAGGAAGTTACAATGTAGTAGTGAAATAGAATTTAAGACGTCTTGGATAGGGGCGCCTGGGTGGCTCAGTCAGTTGAGCGTCCGACTTCGGCTCAGGTCATGATCTCGCAGTCTGTGAGTTCGAGCCCCGTGTCGGGCTCTGTGCTGACAACTCAGAGCCTGGAGCCTGCTTCGGATTCTGTGTCTCCCTCTGTCTCTGCCCCTCCCCTGCTCATGCTCTGTCTCTCTCTCTGTCAAAAATAAATAAAACATTAAAAAAAAAAAAAGACTTCTTGGATAAAGCAGCTCAGTTAGAGATGTTGACAAATAGGTCATGGAGTTGAGATCAGGGAACTGTATTGAAAGGAACATGAGTGATAATACCTTGGTGTGATACCAGGAATTGGAGAGGTAGCCTGTGAATGTGGTTGGAAGGCCTGTAGAGATCCACTGATAACAGATAGTGAAAAATTAGGTCACAGAGGATGAGCTTCCAGAGAGGAGCTGTTTGTGGAGTAACAGCAGCCAGTCATACTGAGTTAGTGGGGAGCTAAGAGAATTCAGAAATTTTTTCTCTTAGAATAATTGCTACTTGAAAAGCCATGAGGGAGGTAGTTTATTCAGGAAAGAGCTAGTTTAATTTAGGATCTGGATGAGATTATAGGAGAAGAGAGAGTGGGAGGATTCTTTACAATGGAAAGGAGGTTCCAGAGGGCATAAGAACTTGGAAAGGTTCACCAGTGTCACCATGAATTAATAGAAAATAGAGACTAAGATAATATGTACGTTCACTTGGGATATTCATCTTTGGTATGATAAATTGAGATGAGTGGCAATATTTACTTGAGTATACAGAGTTTTAGTGCTATAATTTGGCTGTGGATCTCTTCCACTTACGGCTGTTGAGCACAGTAGTGGTTAGGAATGTGAGCACTGGAGGCCAGTTGCCTGGGACTGAATTTTTATTCCATCCCTTATAAACCATGACCTTAGGTTTTCTAGCCTGCCTCTGTTCACATCATAGCTCTGTCTCTTGTTTTAATGTTTATTTTTGAGAGGGAGACAGACAGCACAGGCAGGGGAAGGGCAGAGAGAAAGGGAGACACAAAATCTCAAGCAGGCTACATGCTCTGAGCTGTCAGTGCAGAGCCTGACATAGGGTTGGAATCCATGAACCTCCAGATCATGACCTGAGCCAAAGTTGTATGCTCAGTAGACTGAGCTCCCCCAGGTGCCTCAAGATTTTTATTTTTATGTAGTATCCATACCCAACCTGGGGCTTGAACTCACAAGCCGGAGATTGAGAGTCCCATGCTCCATGGTCTGTGTCAGCCAGGCACTCCTGCCTTTTTTCTTTTTTAAAGCACTTAACAGTATGGAGAAAGAAAGAAGGTAATTTCTGTAACTTGGAGATAACTTTTCTCTCTCTCTTTTTTTTTTTTTTTAATCAAGAGAGAGGAAGAAGGTTTGGAGAAAGATGTATATTCTGTTTACTATGGCTCTCTTCCTTAAAACCAGAGGGAGATTGTGTCATAATTTATGTAATCTCTTAGACTTAAACAATTTTTGACTTTTTTTTCCAGGTTGAGACTGAGCTAAAGTTAATCTGTTGTGACATTCTGGATGTACTGGACAAACACCTCATTCCAGCAGCTAACACTGGCGAGTCCAAGGTTTTCTATTATAAAATGAAAGGGACTACCACAGGTATCTGGCTGAATTTGCCACAGGAAATGACAGGAAGGAGGCTGCGGAGAACAGCCTAGTGGCTTATAAAGCTGCTAGTGATATTGCAATGACAGAACTTCCACCGACGCATCCTATTCGCTTAGGTCTTGCTCTCAATTTCTCCGTATTCTACTATGAAATTCTTAATTCCCCTGACCGTGCCTGCAGGTAAGTCATGGAAGAGAAACAAAAGCTCTCACTATGAAAGTGAAAAAGTTACAAAGGACAATTGTTTCTGTTTTGTTTCCTGGGACTGCCTTTGTATCCTTGGCCATGTACTAAAGAATTCTTTTGGCTCTTAATGAAACTGCTTTGGATGATTTAGGACAGACCTTACCTAGTTTGCTAGGATAGCAGTTTTGGATGTTGATGGGGAAATATTTTGTTGATAGGTTGAAAAAATTTTTTAACTTGTTAGTGATAGAGTGAAATGAGAGGAATTGTAGTAGAGTTATTTTAATGTTTTTATATTAGCTGTTAGTCCTTGTAGGCATGCTTTTTAATATAGTTATGCTCTTAGTTGTACATATTTTGTAATTTCTATTTTAATATGAACAGTTCTCCAGCTTTGTATGTTAACAATTCGCCCATTTGTATTTCAGATTGTTCCCAATTTTTTCCCTAAATTTATTTACTTATTTTGAGAGAGACAGAGGGCGAGTGGGGTAGGGGCAAAGGGAAGAGAGAGAATCTTAAGCAGGCTCCAAACCGTGAGTGTGGGAGCAGAGCCTGATATGGGGCTCAATGAGACTCATGTACTGTAGGATCATGACCTGAGCCAAAACCAAGAGTCAGATGCTCAACCGAGCCACCCAGGTGCCCCGCAATTTTTGAAACAGATAGAAATTTAAAGGATAGCTTTATGTACATGGCTTTTTACTTGTAAAAATTACTACAAAATACAACATGAAGGTTGTCATTCTAACCATTTTGTTGTATAATTGGATGGCATTATGTACACCTACAGTATTGTGTAACTGTCACTACTGTTTCTAAAACTTCATCACCAGGGGCGCCTGGGTGGCGCAGTCGGTTAAGCGTCCGACTTCAGCCAGGTCACGATCTCGCGGTCCGTGAGTTCGAGCCCCGCGTCGGGCTCTGGGCTGATGGCTCGGAGCCTGGAGCCTGTTTCTGATTCTGTGTCTCCCTCTCTCTCTGCCCCTCCCCCGTTCATGCTCTGTCTCTCTCTGTCCCAAAAAAATAAATAAATGTTAAAAAAAAAATTAAAAAAAAAATGCAAACCGTTATTTATTCATCTAAAAGCATTCTAAATGCCTAGTTGAATTTGTCCAAACATATACAGGTTTTAATGAAGAAGTTATAGCTATCTGTCAGCTAATAGTATTGTGCTCTTTCATTGTTATTCTCTAGTTTAGGCTGTCCCACACATCACTTTGATTTAAGTCTTATCCATGTCTTTGTTATTACGCATTTGCTTTAGTCTTAAGCGTGCCATTCATGCTCTTTTCCTACTTTGAAGATGAGTTCAAATTTGTCTTCCCATCCCCATTTCCTCATCCTCTAGGGTTTCCGAAGCACTTTCTCCAGAGTAGCATACTTCTTTTATAATAGTTTTATGTGTCAGTCCTCTATTCCTAGATGTTTTAAGTTCATTGTGGACTGAGATCGTCTTTTTCTTCAGTTTCTCCACCAGTGTCCTGCTTTACTTGGTGCTCATTATATACCATACTCAGTAAATGTTGATTTTATTTCTTTTAAATTGCAGCAAATGGCTTATATGATCACATTTCTGTGGGTTCTATACTGCCCCCCCCTCCCCGCTTCTATTAACATTAAATTCTATGAAATTAAACTGAGATACTGTCTAAGTGAGTTGTTGACTAGAACTTGGCAATACCTTTATATTGCATGTATTTTGGCGGTGGTTTAGGATAGAATTTGGTTTGTGTATTCTGTTTACTGATAGGCTTGTTAAGCATAGTAAGAAGCAGTGCTCCAGGGGCATGTGGTTGGCTGGTAGAGAAGATGACTCTTGATCTCAGGGTCATGAGTTTGAGCCCCACATTGAGGGGAGAGTATGTTTAAAAAAAAAAAAAAAAAGAATAAGTAGTGCTCCAAAAATTTTACTACCTCCAAATTTGCTACATTACAAAATTAAATAGTTAATTTTTATCAGTTACACTTGCTTTTCTTTTATTTTGGTATTTAAACCCAAGTTACTTAGTGTCACTATTACATACTGTGGGATAACTAAAGAAAAAGATTGATTTCTAACATGTTATTTCTAATTCTGTTTTTGGGCTTATTTTTGTAATACATTTATGTAAATGCTTTTAGGTTGGCAAAAGCAGCTTTTGATGATGCAATTGCAGAACTGGATACGCTGAGTGAAGAAAGCTATAAGGACTCTACACTTATCATGCAGTTGTTACGTGATAATCTGACACTATGGACTTCAGACATGCAGGGTGATGGTAAGGAAACTTGGAAGTTAATGAATGCATCTTTTTGAGTTGTTGGGTCTTTTTACTCTTAGACATTCCTTGGCATTTTTTCACATTAAGCTGCAATTTAGACTCAGCCTATCGTCCACAAAGTATCAGATTTTAATTATTGCCTTTACAGCAAACGATCTCAAAACTACAGTTTTCCGTTTTGGGCTGTATGATAATGTAAAAGACTTGTTTGGAAAAGGGGATCTTTTTTTGTATTCGAAGATTTAAAAATTTTGCCTCTAATGTTCGCTAACTTCTCTCACTGTTGTGGAAGATTGAGGGAGGAAGCAGTTCATTTTATCTTCCTCAGATTCAATTTTAGAGATCGAATATAATTGTATTTGAATGTCCTGATCACTACTTTGGCCGACTGGTATCCTCAGGTTAAAACTGGATGGTGTCAGTAAATATTTATGAAGCGTCTTCTCTGTGTGGAAATCTTTTATCTAAAGAAGATTTTCTAGAGCAAATGGAATGTCCTGTCTTGCCATTAGTCCTTATTTAAGATGTGTGGTTTTAGTTTTCAGTTATAAATAGTTAGTATTTTACAAAACTTACTTTTGTGATTGGGCCAGGGGGTTAAAATTCTAAATGCCAAAATTTGTCATAATTGTTGATTTTAAAGGAGATTTTGTTGTGCTTATTCCAGAGAATCCATTTTATCCATGATAGATCACTGAAGAGTCAGGGGGAGGAGGGCACAGGGTGCAAAAACAAGTGTGACATGACCATTTTATGAGATAGCTTTACAGTTGGTGGTGGTATGGGGAAAAGAAAGTTTGTCAATATCAACTGCAGATCCTATAAGAGTATATTACCAAAATGAAACATATAGGTTGCATTGCTTGAGGCTAACTGTAGTCTGTTGGTCACACCAGCATGCTGTACTGTCTTTGGAAGCGTTATATTTCTTTAAAAGTGCCTCTGAAAATGGGTTTTCGTTTTAAATGTCCTTACTATGGAAGGATAGAGTGAGATTTTAGACTTACCTTAGGTACTAAAGTGAGAATTAGGTGACTCAGCTTTAAAGCTCACTAGGTCTATGAAATATTTAGATATTTGACTAGGGTTGGCTTGAGATGTGTGGCACGTGTGACCTGCTTGCACACTTTTCCAGCAAAGCCAGACAGTGCCACAGATTACTTTTTAACACAGCACTTCAGGCAACTGCTACCAGTCTTTGGGACTCAAAACCAATTTACCATCTCTGAACTAATGACTTGAGGTTCCTTCCAGCTTTAAAATTCTGTTGTATTCTAAACAATAACTACTCAGAAGAATGACCAAACAGCTGTGGACTCTTCATAGTCACCCTCAGCTCAGAGAAGACTAGTATCTGTTTGAGGGGATAAAAGGAAACATGTGGAGAGTTTGGTAAGCGGTGTTGACCCAAGTAAGGTATATACCTCTGGGGACATTTTTCTGAGGGTGAAAATAACAAACAAGGTGACCTGGGTTGAAACATTGCTTTTTAAAAGACATTTTATGCCAGCTTTTATAACTAAGATTGCTAGATTACAGAATTAAACAGAAATAAAGTTTTATATTTTCTCTAAAAAAATTTTTTTTAAGTTTAATTACTTTGAGAGAGGGAGAGAGAGCACAAGCAGGGGAGAGGGGGAGAGAGAGAATCCCAAGCAGGCTCTACACTTGAACCCACAAACCATGAGATCATGACCTGAGCCAAAACCAAGAGTCGAATACTTAACCAACTGAGCCATCCAAGCTCCCCTGAACTTTATATTTTCTACTTTATCATTGATAACCAGTAATTGATAAATCAAAGTAAACTATGTTTTTCCGTCTGTTTTTATATAAAACCAAAGATACTCTCTTCCTTGGTTATCAAGCATTTTATGAAATAGATCACTTTTTACAATAGGATATTTTCTTGAAACTACTCACTTTTCATAGTTGCAAAGGTTCTTTGTACAAAGATGTTTTATTACATTTCAGCATAGATTTCTCTTTAATCCTAAAACAGGTTTATGTAAATCTTAGTTAAATCCAGTTGCTTCAATTCTTACCACTTTGTAAACTGAATAATTGATTAAATTGGTTGTGACAGACTAATTTTCATTTAAGAGGTTTCATTTAATTTTCATTAAAGACAGTATTTGAAATGATGAAACTTGCTAGTTTAACAGCAAAAAATTCTAGTAGTCTCGTGACATTTTTAGTAAAATTAACAAATTATCTGAATTTACAAATTGTTGTGGGTACTAGTAATTTATTTGCCATTTTCCTAAAAGGTATAGTATTACATGTTTTATTAAATTGGTTTTGTGACTTAATCCATGCAGAATTGCAGTCATGGAATTGGCAGTTTTCCAGGATGTTGGATTTAGCGGACCATCAGTTTTCTCCTTTTTAATTTTTTTATGAAGGAAGAAATGTATGTGTTTCACAAGCTTTTATTGAGACGCTTTTATACTTTTTTAACTGCAGAATATGTTAACTTCTGTGTTGGAACATCTTTGTAAACAGATCACCACTTTTTCTCATTAAGTGATTTCAGTCCTTTTAATCTGTGTTCAGAGGACATTTCATACACAAGTCTATAGAAAAAATGTGTGTTCTCTGCCTTATTCCTGTCTTCCCTCAAAATCAAGAAACAATGGGCAAAGAAATACATACCCAAAGAAACATTTTTTCCTCTTCTGTATACCTTTTAAGAGGATATTATTTCATCCTTTTAAAGGTAAAAGGAACAGATAACTTTGTAGAATGAAGTTTATACAAAGTAAAAAGACCAAAATCTGATTCCCCTAAATCATTGATGTTTTCTTTTGTCCTGCTGTCTGGTTTATTTTTCTTGTAATGTTGCTTTCATATGATTGTTCTCCCTCCCTTTCTCCTTACAATATAGATTCCTAAAGGAAAATCCAACTCTTCCTTTCCTAAAAACTCTACTTTGTAAGTCATTATCATGGCACAGCAAATTCTGCTTTTTAGTTTTGGTTCTTCACTAATCATGCCTGCATATATTATCATCCTTTTGCTTACAAAACTGCCTGTTCTACATTCTAGGATGTGAAATCTTCTAAGACATTTATGATCTGCTACCCTTGTCTACCTCTGGTTGGGTGTGACTCATCTGACAATATTCTATGCCAAAGTTACTTGGAACTCTTGGCAAATCTAATGGTTGCTTATAAGTGAATTAGAGTGTGTTCTGTTGTTGTATGTTAACCATATTTTGGCAGTGTATTGCTGTTAAAAATGAGCGTGAATGTTCCTATCATTTCTAAGTTTGAATACATTGTTTTGGGAACGATTGATTGGGTGGTCCATCATTTCTTTCCTCAGTAAATGTTTTTTTGTCTTTGCATGTCCATTTTCTATATATGAGTCAAAAATCTTTATGTACCTTAAGTACTTTTTAAGAGTCACATATCAGTATCAAACATTTCTGTTAGGGAAGAAAATTATAAATGTTCTAAAACTACATTCACCTAATCCTTGTTGCCATGACAGCATTTATTGTTTATCATATCAAGGGCTGTTTAAAAACACTCTTTAGGGTAAATGCTTCATGTTGGTAGTCAGCCGGTCTTAGTGTTGTTTATCCATCCTGACTAATTGAGCAAGCAATGGGAATGGATGGATTGTCTGAACTGGAATGATGATTGGATTAGTTAATTGGTATTATTTTTTCCTGTTGAAATTTGATTCAAACTAGTAACTACATAGGAATTGTAGTGGTTTGTTAAAGCACAAAAGAATGTAACTTTTACCTGTTTTTTTATTATTATTTTATTTTAGCAAAAACTTGCATGTTCTCTTTAGTATGGCTGTGACTTATTTAATGCTTATTAATAGGTAGATGATTCTCCAGTGAATAGGCTGGCTTTTTATTGCATGTCATAGTGCAGTTGAAACTCCCGAGGCCGATCATCATGTTTTAAGGGAAAAGAAAAATGGCATGAGAGAACTGGTCCAAATGCCCTTCTTTAATAACCTCAGTGGTCTGGTTTACTTTGAGCATGCTGTTTCACTTTGGAGTAAGGAATTTGGTTTATGGTTTGGTGTGACTGGCTAAGATACAAAATGTAAGATACCTTAAAAAGCAAAACTCTCCCTCTAAAACTATAGACCTCCTTTGGAGCATTTTACTGCTCAGTTCTCTTTATTGAAGCATTTCTCATGGAGCTTGTGGGTAGATTTTACAAAACAAAAAAACCAACAACTATAAAGTACTGTTGAGTCTCTTGAAGAGGTGAGGTTATTGAGAAAGAGTATTTTGACCCAAGATATACATGAAAGCTTGAAAATCATTTAATAGTTATGGTTACCTTGGCTGTCTACTTTCAAGAGCTTATTTTAGCATAAAACTAGTTTTACTGTGCGCATCAGTTTTTTCATCCTGTTTACCATTCAGGACCATGGTCCAGCAGCACCTCTTGGCTTAGGGGTCTCAGGTGTTAAGGGTGGTAGAAGTCTTTTGCCTGTCTGTGGTTAATACCAATTGTAGCAAATATAAGAAGTCTTTATGCTTGGAATGATGCCTTTGTTTGTGACCACAACAGCCTGACTAGCCAGTATGCAATAATTAACTCATTCTTCTTTGTAGGTGAAGAGCAGAATAAAGAAGCGCTGCAGGATGTGGAAGATGAAAATCAGTGAGACATAAAAGCCAACAAGAGAAACCATC